CCTCATGTTTCTACAAGTAAAATAGTATCCTGGCGCCCTCTTGTATGCTATATACCTGCTAAAAAATTTCACGCGCACTTTGATGGTATTATAGGAACGCTCTTGGCGCCTTCTAGCCAGCACCTGGCTCCGTTATGTGTTTAGACTCGCATTACGACGAGCTATTAGACTATAGGTTAAATTGCTGACGGATAAGAGTTATTCTTTATTCCGCTAGATCACTTGAACAATCTTAAATAAATACCAAGTAAGTATTTCTAAATGCCAGCCCCTAGATCCACCTTTTAATGAGTTACGATCGAAAGTTCTATTAATAAAGAACAAACATAGCATTAAAATGAGACAATTTATTAAGCACATTAATTGCTAGATCTGCAATCTTAAAGCCTCTGATCATTAATAACAAATTCAAATCGCGAGCCATTCTCAAGCTTAACTATCTAAGAACAAATTGGATCTGTTTAATCAACACTATAAAATTACCAATAAAAATAATTAACAGTCTTGCCGTCGTTTAATTTCTTCGCGGGCTTTTTAAATGTGTTGACTTTTTTATTTTTTATGACGCTTGATCACGTTCGGATACGAAAACCAAACAATACCACGGACGCACTCATTATAAAACGCCCGTACAGCCGTACCTCTAGGCTGAATATAAATAACGCATTCAAAATCCCCTGTTCTCTGTCCGTTAATTACTCCAGCCAGTTCGAAACAGTCAATTATTATTTGAAATATAAACATAGAAACGCCATGGTACCAGTTCTTACTACTTATTCTTAATTACTTTTAACTAAGACGTAACTCACTCGTTGAAAGTAGGTATTTAGTGAACTTATCTTTTAACTAGGGACATTGATGTATTGCTGGGTGAAACGGAGCATATTTGTTTTTTTATATAATGGCCGCCCGCCGGCAATGGGCAAGGCTCATTCAGCATGAGGGAAGTTTTACTGCAATGTTGGGAATATTTAAATAAAGTGACAGTTATTATTTATGGTGTGTTTGGCTTGGTTATAAATTTTGTAGCAATAAATAGAAGGTGTTTCGAATGCTGATATTCATTAAACACAATACAAGATCCGGCTCCAATAAATAATTGTAACTTTTCATAAGATAATTCACAAAAACCATGAAATAAAACTTAGGTAGATAGGTATACCTACCTATAAAACAATAACCGGCGCGGAAAAGTAAATAAATAGAATAAAACTTTGTGTAATTGACACTAATTGTTCTGTGGAAAATGTAATGAAGTACCTACAACTAATATTTCAACATTTTTATTGTGTTACAAAAATAAAAATTTTGTTTTTATTAGTTAATTTCGGGGAGCTTAAGTTTTTGTGGTTGGCAACTCGAGCGTGGCCGTTCGAGCGAACCATGTAATTAGGTGGTTATAAAAACTTTAGGTAATTAATTGTGTTGCTTTGTGTTGTTAGTGTGCGTTAAATTGATATTTATTGTTGACATTTCGTGCCGTGAGCGAGGCTCGTATTTAATTGTTGTTAATTCGTACACACGACGTAAAATGGCGGTCGTTCTCTGGCGGTATGTATTTGTAATTAAAAAAAATGTACAAAAGATACTGAATTCCTATCACAGCTTGTGGAAACGATAATTCTTTCTAATTATTTGCCTATCTTTTGTAATGAGATAAGCTTCAACAATTTTATTACTTAGGTACTGAAATGAAAATAAATGAGGTTTAGTCATGAATCCTGTTCAGTACGATGTTAATTTATTTATCTTTATTTATGAGTTTAATTAAGTATCTAAGTTATTATTTTTACTATTAATTAGCCTAGTTCATGTTTAAAAATTTTTCTCTTTTCGCGAATAAAAAACAACACTTATCTACACGTAACGTATTATTATAATATTGTAATGAAGCATTGAGATAATGACAATATTGGTGTAATGAAAGCTTTTTGACAACCTTATTAGTAAAACATCGATAAAATTATCAACAGTAACTGTCCCAACACTACATAATAATAGCGCGGGAAAATAGCCCGCCATCTTTAAAACCTCACTAACCTAAAACATAAAATTATGGTTAGGAAAGCATTTAATTACACGTAAATGTGATCGAAACCAAGTTTAGACGTTGTTATTAAGCTAAATTTGTTTGAATTGCTAATTAATCGTCTCCGAACGACCTCAACGCACGCTATTTGCGAGCCCACAAAATTAATTATGGTAGGTGGACACAATATGGCCGTGATTAACCATTGTTTCCATTTTAAAATGGTGGGGATTAATAATATTGAGCTAATTGTTATTACAGGGTACTTATTGTAATAATATATTGAGTACAAGGATGATGCTTACCTACTATTGTTTCTAAACTCATTTGGTTTTAGAGCGTTCTAATAGTAACGATAATTGTTAGTACCTACTTACTGCGTAACAATGTGCATAGTACGCTACTCAATAAGATTGTAATGATATTATTCTCTTACTAACAGCTATTGGTTGGTTGACGAGTATGGACTAAATATCATTGTCTAGTTTTATCGTCAGTAGACATCATGGAGTCACAATTTTTGTGCGTCATAATAATATAATTTTGTTGGTGGACAGTGGGCAAATCAATCGGATTATTAACTACAGCCAATATTTTGTCAGTAGATACTAAATCACAAACTGTGGTAAGAGTAACATAACATCACGCCGTTTATCCCCGAAGGGGTAGGCAGAGGTACACATTACAGCACATATTACCACTGTGCAATGTAAAACCCACTTTTACTATTTATTTTATGAGTCCCATGTAATAGGGGCACAATTCCAGATTCCATGCTACTACTGAGATTTTTTTTTTAAAACCCAGTAATTTGGGAAAGGAACTCGAGACCCTTGCCAGGCAGTCGCACTTGCGACCACTCGGCCAACGAGGCAGTGGTAAAAGTAAAACGTTATAAAACACATAACATAACGCTTTTAAATCAGTAAGGGATAATCAGATGTACTCATATATCTAGTAGCAGCGTGCGCAGTCGCGGCGATATCGCGTAGCCTACCTACCTACGCACGCTGCTCATGAGGAATAGTCCCTCTGTGACTCGAAGAACTAGTAGAGCTTTTCTCAGTATATTTACGTGAGTAACTCGTCATTATAAGTTAGTTCTGTATGTCTCACGATAGTTACGACATAATCTACTACTTAGGTACCTACTGACTAATTTTTATTTTAATGTCCGTCTGGTAGATTATTTAAAAACATTCGACACGTATTTTTTATTTTCTTGCGGAAACGAATAGTGTCGAAGATATATTGATTTCAAATATCGCATGACGTCACTTTTGAGTACGATTTATACTCTAAAATGACGTAGCTACCCCCACTCCTAAACTTTGATTCGTTTTTTAAGTAATGTTTTCATATAGGTACGACAAAATAAAAAATACGTGTCTAATATTTTATCATTACCTAACTGTCGGACTAATTAGATTTTTAATGTTCATACTCTGTCATCATTCCTATTATGACTTTCTGAGTCTTATGTTATAGGGAACAGGTAAGTCTAGCGCCTTGATGTTTAGTCCTGATGACCTTTAGTGAAACTATAAAAAAACTTTCAGAATATTTTGCACAAGACAGGATTTTTTTTTCTTTTTCTTTTAAAAAAACATTGCCCCAAGCTAGGATTTTCTCCTGTGTCGTGAGTGCGTTTACAAACATACAATTTCACATACTCATGCTCATACTCATGACACCCAGACCCGAAACAACAATTTGTGGATCACACAAAGTGTTGTTCCGTGCGGGAATCGAACCCGCGACACGTTGTACGGCAGCCGGTTGCCCAGCCACAGCAACAACCGTCAGTCAAGTCAGATTAAAACCTCTTACTCGGCAGTCGCAATGCCGTCCACTCCACCAACGCAAAAACAGCTATTGTATAAATAGTGAATTCGTCTAATTGGTTTTAATAAACCTATGTTTACATATATGTCAACAAAATCTACAGAAAAATTGTCATGTCCAGTACCTAAGTAAACGCGTGTACCATATAAAAAATTCATTGCAGGTGGCATACCTGTAGGTTAGTCAAACAAGTGTATAAAAAGGTGTGAGTGTGCAAGCCTACTGCCTACATCTGGGGTATTTTATAACTGGATATATGGAATGGTCTCTACCAAGACTACGGCTTTTTAGTAGCTAAGCTCGGGAAAAGCATTAATACGTCGAATTAAAAATTCACGAATTTATTATTTATTTATCTTTATATTACAGAGGTAAGTACCTATCTTATAATCTAAGCCCCATAAAACCATTGGGATAGTTAGTACGTATACGTTGAAATATATTCTATGGGATATATAATACGACTATCAAACATTCAAGAAAAGGGCGTAGGTACCTATTCCTTTTCAACGCATCTGTGACTCCTCTGGTGTTGTGGGTGCCCATGGACGGCGCTGATCGCTAACCATCAGCTCGTTTGCCTCCTGTTTGTAAATAGGTACTTTATCAATATTAATTATCAGGAAATATCTGCAAACCAGATAAATTGTGTTTATTTTTTTAATCTAACTGATAAGATTCTTAGTAAAACTATTTTCTATCGTGAAAAAAGTATCTACTTATACAGGAATCAACTATCTTATATTTAACAAAGACTTCCTATAAAACGTGTTTTATTCAAATGAACAATTCATCCAAATTTCTAAACGAAAAATAAATCACTCTTAATTTTCTGAACGTTGACGTTATGTCATTGACATAATAAAGTTTTTTTTTTTGGGAAATCCAGTCTCGAATACGTAATATCTATGGATGTTGTCGACTATACTGCCAGTGTCTCAAAACAACGTTATTGACAGTGACGTGTTGTGTGTACTCTAAAGTCAATGTCATGTCATTATTTCAGTCAGTCATTAGCAAAACAGTGGAGTTGAAAAAACGAGTGATTTATTAATTAAATTATAATGTCCACGTAAAAATAATGTGCTTTTATAATATACCTGTAAATATTAGACAGGAAGCATAAATGAATCGACGAATTATCTTTATGGGGTACAGCTTATCCAGCTCAAAATGCCTCGGTATTTGTTTGATGTTGACTTTTGTAACGGGGTGTTATTTGGCTGCTTTACCTCTTCGATACGGTAAGATCTATTCGTAAATTTATTCTACATTATGTTAACATACAATTTTGACCAATAATTAATCCAAAACTGCTTAAATTTCCACAGAGCGAGAGGCCCTACCTAACCCAGTACGACAACGAATAACATCATTAGAACCATCGAAAAAACGTCTTGCAGTCCTCGTGCCTTTCCGTGATCGCTTTGAAGAACTCTTAGAATTCGTACCACACATGTACAGCTTCTTAAACCGCCAAAAAATACCATTTCACATATTTATAGTGCAGCAAAAAGACAACAATCGTTTTAACAGAGCTTCGTTAATCAATGTTGGGTTTATCTACTCTAAAAAGGACTATGACTACATAGCAATGCATGATGTGGACTTATTGCCAATGAATGATAACTTAAAGTATGATTATCCTGCGGTCGGACCAATGCACATATCGTCTCCGAAGACGCACCCGAAATATCACTATGATACATTTATCGGAGGCATTTTGTTAGTGACCAAAGAACAGTATGAGTTAGTCAATGGGATGTCTAACAACTATTGGGGGTGGGGATTGGAAGATGATGAGTTTTACGTGAGATTAAAAGATGCAAACTTGACTGTGATGAGACCGAGCAATATTACTACTGGGATTGATAATACTTTTAAGTAAGTCCTTCTTGTTTATTTTTTTATTCTAATTTAAAAGGCTTCATTCACACTCTTAATGTACAAGGTAGGCATAATGCCATGGGCATTCTCCTCCAGCCAGACCTTTGGGTGATGAAAAGGCAAAAACAATGATTGATGGAAAAAGCAAAAGCATATCCAAGATCTATGACCAAGAGGAATGCATAAAATCTTGTAATAATTTTCTAGATTTTTCCTATATGTTGTGTGATTTAAATAATTTTATATTTCCTACACTTATGAGATATCAAATAATGATGATTCTTTTGATTAACTTTATTTCGATTCCATTACTATCAAAGATAAAAATTATTTATGTAATCTTTATCTGTTAAGGACAATACCTATTTATATTTTAGTTAAATAAACATACTTTTTATTTTTACATGTGTGAACATGTGAACCTTCATAATGTCCAAAAGAGCAACAAAGAAAAGTAATTGTGTTCTGTTACACAAATATCCACCTTAACACTGGTGGGAACTGATCGTTTTCGATTATACGTCTGAATGTAACTTGCACATGATTTAACAAATTGTTTTATATTTCCAGACATATCCATGATAAAACATATAGGAAACGTGATATGCGGAAATGTTACAACCAACGCGAGGTAACCCGTCGCCGTGATCGTGAAACTGGCATCCACGACGTGTCATACAAATTGCACAATACTCACACCGTAGCGGTCGACGGGTTAAACGTCACAGTTTTAAATGTGGAACTCATTTGTGATAAAAACAGAACTCCATGGTGTCAGTGTCCGGAACCTACAAAGGCAGCTAAGAAAAATTGAGTTTGAAAATGGAACTAAGGAACGATTGTTTTTTTATCATAGACTAAAAAAACTTGTTATTGAGAAGTTTTGATAGGAATGTCTCTTTGGCATGGGGTCATAAGAATAACTGTTGAGGAAAAGAATGCAGGTTCAGATCCTGTTCTCTGATTCACAAATAACACTTATTGAAGGGTGTGCATTTAATATCTAGAATAATAACAATCAATTATTAATGTACTTAAGTCTTCCCTACACATAAGTTGTGTATATTATTACTGCAATAGTAAGATTCTTGGTTGTGTAAAAGTATTGAATGTTTCTTTAATTAATTTAAACTGTTTATATCAAAATATTGTATTTAATTAAAATAATTCTCTACAGTAATAAATACCTGTATAAGGCAAGTTATCTAAAGACATCAACGCACATCAAGCTACCCCAGCAAGTTCTTCTATGCATTTTCAACCTTGATCTATTTGCAATAAGGTTGAAAATGTGATAAAGAATTTTAGGTTGGGCACTCTACATTACTTATTTAAAGAAATGCCTAAAAGCAAATATTTGCTTCCCTATAGGGTTTTAAAAGGAGTTATGTTATATTTTGTTTGTCTTGTTTCATTTATATTCATAATAATATAATATCGATATAAGACTGTATTTAGTTGTTATTATAAACTTATTATACTCTAAACCTAGTCTAGTAATTGTAATTCATCATCAGTCGCCATTATACCTACTACATGTATATATATTTTTTTTTTTTTTTTTTTTTTTTTTTTTTAAGGGGGGAAAATCATCGAATGACTGCTCCCGCCTGGGTGAGGCGGAAGGGAGTGTCAGACTCTTACTGACTAAAAACCACCCCGTTCCTTCTCCTGCACGTCGAGCCGGAGCCCCGGTTACCCGTTAGGTTCTCCGCGACTACATGTATATATATAGGGTCATTACATTTTACGCATTTAACATATCCCTGAAGCATTTTTCTACAATATCTATCGATGTACTAAACTAGAGATCCTGATCATTCCACTTAAGGTTACACTAGTCGATATTTTTTCCATAGAAAGTTCGGGGTGGTATTACTCGACAGTGTGAATGTGTACCTACAAAATTAAACACGATATCGTTTTATCTTGTAATTACATTTGTCGGTACGGAAACAAAAAAAATAAAAAAAAAACTACTAAAAAGTTATGAGCCAACAAAGTTTTGTTTTTCTTTACAATTTTAACGCAACTTTGGGTGTTAAAAAATACCACTAATCGTGTAAAATCTCCAAACCGAAGACCGTACCGACTCAGCACAATTACCATAGAGTTCTATAAAATTTATTTGAAATTGATCTAAGCAGTGGTTTTTTCAAAAAACGCTATTTTCTAAAGCACTAAATCGTACTTTTTTACGCACTCGTTTTGTGATGGATTATCGTGCATTTCACTGGATAAAACTCCCCCGGCAGTGGCGCGGGGCGGAGGGAAGACGCACACGCGCTGTCGTGCAATTGTCGTGATTTAGTGAAGTTGTTTTGGTTGATTGCATGACACTTGGAATTTCCAAGTGTCATTGGAAAATACATAATAAACAATGGGTAAGTCGTCCCTACAATTTATTATACCTTATCTAATTAGATACAGTTATCGGTACGGATCCCAGCAGCAACCCAGCCATCGTGAAGGACACACTGGGCGTCGGGGATCGCGGGACGATATCCGGCCACTGTAAGCGCGGGCCTGCGGATGGCGAACATGGGTGGCTCCCCGTCCGACCAGAAACAAACCCGAGCGTCCGGCGCGTCGCGTTCCACGCGTGCCTCAAAGAGCCAACAGACCACCACAGATGGGGCCCAATAGGGCCGATGCCGATTCGGAGTCGCGGAGAACCTAACGGGTAACCGGGGCTCCGGCTCGACGTGCAGGAGAAGGAACGGGGTGGTTTTTAGTCAGTAAGAGTCTGACACTCCCTCCCGCCTCACCTAGGCAGGAGCAATCAATCGATGATTTTCCCACATAAAAAAAAAATTCTACTTGTTTATAATATCAATTAGTATCTTTACTTCGGACTTCAAACCAATGACCAAACGAAAAAAAATTTCCAAAGATATAATTTCGAGTACTATACTGAATTGCGTGTTGTAACATTTTACTTGAACTCACAAAATTAATCATATCTTCTGATAGAGTGAACCGATTTCGATGAAACAAAAACTAAGTTACACCTCGAGTTGCGTAGAATTTTTATATATTTTACGTGATGCGCGCACAAACAAACAGACAAACAGACAAAAATTTCAAAAATGATGGAAATGGGTTCTGTTGGTTATCTTTTCATCACTGGCTATTTTTTTTGTCAATTTCTTCAATGTACAAAAATTACTTTTCTACAGATTTATTATATGTATAGAATAGATATAGATAAATATTACGATTACCAATAAGATTTTTCAGGTTCATTGTTTTTTTTTGTCTATAAATAAAAGCATAATAAATAAGCAAGTAACTAAAAGGGTGAACCCTTAGCAATTATACTCAGCCTTGCGGCGCTCTCCTGTGCTGCTAATACAGATACTATACCGGCATGAATATTGAGCGTTGACTCAGATTGCGCAGAAATCAAGTCTCTTTAGTAGTAGGTATTGTGAGAAGGATTGTTGCTACCTACAATTCTTCTCCCAAAAATCCTTTTACAGTGATTAGCTCGCCAATGTATACCTACCCACTTTGATGCCGAGCGCTCAAGATTCGAGCCGGTATCTCTACTTATGTTTGTGTCAGGGAGGTACCTAGTGCGCAGCTTTATGTTACGTTCCGAGCTGCCAAAAAGTCTGTAGGTACCTAACACGAAGTTGGAGTTAGGGACCTACCTACACGATGTAGGTATGAAGTCCACAAGTTTTGTTACGGACGAAATGACGAAAATCTAATTATGTGGTATTATCACTACTTCTAGTAATCTTAGGTAGTCACCGACGTACCTAACTAGGTAAGTATATATTTAATTTTATGAAAACATAATGACAGATCAATTGTCTCGAAATTCAGGAAATAATTCAGACCAGTAAGTACCTACCTAAATAGGTAGGTAGTTCCTGAGATTATTATGTTCAACCAAACAAACTATAATATTAGTTAAACATTATAACCTGATGAAAATATGACATTTGAACTGTATTATTTAGATAAAAGATGCATCTAGCTAGTTTGTAGTAGGTACATAAAGTTATTGGTACTTAGAAAAAAAAATATTATATAAAATTATATCCCTAGCCTTTCGTGGATTCTTCGGATCGGATGATAAGTTGATATCATAAAAAATTGTCAGTAATTACAATGCCCTGTGACAATAATTATTAAATTCATGCGAGCATCATAAAATCGTAGCAGCGTGTACGACTTTACTACGAGTAAACACACACAGCACAGATATATGCACCGTTCAGTGACGTTTTGCTGTGTTTGTGTGCGTGCGAACAATACGTCGTGCAAATAGATAGCGTCTAACTGCTCATCACTGGTACTATTTCTGTCACACACGATGTTAGATGAGACAGCGCGCTTTTTGGCCACGCCCTTGATTGAGTTCGAGCCCGCGACTAGTTTAACCTTAAATACTCAAATCATTGTCTTACGGTTCGCTCGACAAGTTTCGTACCGAACCGGGGCCCTCAAATTCGCCGAACAATATTCAACACGATGAACCATGTAGGCACATACAATATCCGTCGAAAAGTTATTTTTTAGCATAGTACATATTTTTATAATAACTATCGTGAGACATACTAAATCAAGTAAAAACGCGGGTTACTCACGTGAATATACTGAGAAAAGCTCTACTAATTTCGAACCACATCAGTGAGCTGCGCGACATCGCCGCGATCGCGCACGCTGCTCATGAGGAAGAACCCCTCTGTGGTTCGAAACTAGTAGAGCTTTTCTCAGTATATTCACGTGAGTAACCCGCGTTTTTACTTGATATAGTACATATTATTATCAAAAGGTTGTTCTAAATTTGTTTGTCCATGTATGTATGTGAACAAAATATTATATTAGTTAATGATGTATTAACTATTCTTAGTGTGTCATCGTTTATATAATATTAAAATTCGTTATTTTTGTATTTGTGTATTTTTATTATATTTACACCTGCACCTCTTGCACCTCTGCCTACCCTTTCGGGGATAAAAGGCGCGATATTATGTTATGTTTATTTTAGTTACAATTTCTGCGAACCTCATCTATATAAGGGAGTCTGTCTTTATCTCCACGCAGTACGCGCGTAACTGTACCCTTAGGGCAGTGGTAAATTCATCGGATGGGTGACCCATCCGATGAATGAAGACCCATCATGGGTCCCTAATTCTCAATAAAAAAAGAAAGAAGTTCAGATGAAAACCTGTGCATGGAGGCCCCTTCCAGCTGGGACCCCTTGGCATTTTGCCAACTTCAAATTGTAAGATGTTAAGGGTTGGAGATCGCAGTGTAAAAGTTTTGGATGTATCAATGTTTCAACTATGTACTTTCAACCCCTGTCGACTGCTCTTGTCGGGTCTTACAAACCCATTCAAACTCAAAAGCATTTATTTCAATTAAACCAATGGCAATGCTGCCAGTCTTCTGGGAACTTTCCCCTGTGATAGTGATGCGGACGAATACTTTGACGCCTAAATTAAGGGTACCTATAATTTTTGTTGTTTTCTTTTACTTTCTTTTTATTTAATAGTTTAGTTGTATTTAATTTTAAGTTGTAAATATTGATGTAGTTATATAAATTATGATATTAAATTAAACCATAATTTTGTACTTTTGAATCTTATCTTTTTAATTTTTTAAAAAACGTTACCCCACACTAGGATTATCTCCTGTGTCGTGGGTGCGTTTACAAACATACAAGTTCACATACACATGACACCCAGACCCGAAACAACAATTTGTGGATCACATAAAGTGTTGTTCCGTGCGGGAATCGAACCCACGACACGTTGCACGGCAGCCGGTTGCCCAGCCACCGCACCAACCGTGCAG